ACACGCTCCCGAGGGTCATGACTCATATAACCAATAGAGTAAATATGTACTAAAGAAGAAACAATTAGTACTGGTATAAGCATAGAAACTGTCAGTGAATCAAAATGAAATCCTCATGATACATATAATGATTCAGAATCAATTCATCTGAACAACTCTATTGACACAGGTATATTATTTAATCCAACTTCAAAAAAGGCAACTACAGCAAAAACAGTTGTCATTATAACAGCTGTACATGTAATTATTCGTGACCCTGAAACTCCGATTTTTCTACCAAAAAAACCAGATGCTATTGATCCTAATAGTGGTAAAATTATTATAGCTAGATACATTATTTAAATTCAATACTAATACTTCCTCTTCGTTTTCTCCTTTTTCCGTAGGAATTCTATTCCCTTAGGAAGGCTAGGATATTCCCATAATCTCTAAACTATGCCTGACTATATTTTAAGCAAATAATTATATAATAATTATAAACCAACCTACATTTAGTCGATTAACTGCGCACCAGCATTAGAATATTGGTGTTTGGCTGCAGATTATCTATTTCATTTCTTCATACAAATCGTTTTTACCATACAACGAGTCATTACCTGTTCCATTAATTACATTACTGTATTAACTTGGTAGATTTGTCTTTAAGATATTCCCGCAATTTGAAGGTTTTGCCTTATATAAAGACTAGATGAAGGTTCACTCCACCTTTTCTGATCCACTTTTCTTTTCAAAGCCCTAATCATGCCCACGATTATTTTTACCCTTATTCATATCCGTACTATTTTTCTTCAACAATAAAATTTTATTCATACCTATTCCATCTTGTTTTAAATGGTCTTTATTCTTAATAATGAAAGCAGCACTCTTAAAATCCAAGAAGTTTGAGTATTTTGATCCTATTATTTTATGTTTTTCAAAGAAAGGAATTATATTTTTTACTATATCATCTATTTTTGTAACTACAAATTCACAAACCAAACGATTTTTGTACTTAGCTACATACCCACATCCAAAAAAATCTACAAAACTTTCCAATAAAGATATATCTCTTGAATCTTGAGCTATAGAAAAACGTAATGAACTAGCTATACCACTTTTAGTTTTAGACTTTTGAACAGTAATAAAAAAGTTAGATTCTCCAGTTGAAAACCCAGCCATTCATTCTTTAGCAGACACAAGGTTATTATAATTGCTTACTATATCTTCTCTTTTTACTGGAACAGTATCAGGGAAAGCTTTTTTTAGCTCATCGGATAAACCTCAATTCATAGATGCCTTATTATTAACTATGGTTTGAATTCCTTGTAAACTACTGTGCTGTTTTTCTGACATTAATTTTACAATTTCTTTAAAAAATACGTAGTCAAAATATTTTTTAGTTAATAATGGGTAATTACTAAAATGTGGTATAATCACATTAGTTATATGCTCCATAGTACTAACTCTAAATTCAACTGTGGAATTTTTGTTGGGATTTGATACATATCCTATAGCTCCAAAATACTCTTGGATTTTTAGAATTAAGTCTCTATCTCTTTCATGCATTTTTATTTGAGTTCTTGCTTGAACATTTCACCCTGTTTTGTATCTAGGGTTTTTTAATATAGTAACTACAAAAGAACTTTCAGCATCAAAAATACCAGTTATAAATCAAGGATCTAATGAAGTTTTAGAATGAGTATTTGTAGAATAATTCCTTATTCCAAGTGGAATAATACTTACGGGTTTAATAGAATAATTATAAGAGTTAAAGGATAGATGGTTTGATTTGAAAAAAGACGAATCTATAAAAAGCTACTAAAATTCCTAAACCTATAGCGGATTCTGCTCCAGCTATGGCAATAATATAAATAGCGTATGTTTGACCTAATATATCATCAAAGCTAAGTGAACTAACCAATATTAAAAACGTAATAGC